GTTTTCTGTTGAGTTCTTCTATTGCTTGTATGTCGATTGGGTTCAACTCGGACTCTTCCACATAATCGCAGCAACTTTTGGTGCCTAGCCTACAGAACGTTTTTCTAGTCTTGTATCTATCACTAATTCTATTGTTTCCTTTTACGCTTATTTCCTCTGTACCTTTTTATCTATCGTTATGACATTTATGCTGGTCAATTTTTTTAAAGTTTGACTAGATTTGTAGCAAATATTAATAATATTTGTATCTCCAAATAAGTTTAATATGAAAATAGATTCAACAATCTATCTAATTATACTAATTATGTACCATTAATATTAATGTTTTTTGTATATATATTTGATCAAAGTTGAGTACGTTTGACTTTTTGGGAAATGAGAACAGCAGATAAAAAGGGATAGAGAGAGTATTTGCTAGTAGATGCTCTAATTAGTCGACGTTAACAAGCCAAACTACGTAGAATGCCAGACTTCGATCTTTTTAAGTTAATGACTTATGTAAAAGTCTACCAAATAAGGCTACAATAGCAAAGGGCCACACTATGGTCCTTTTCACTAGCCTCTTACGGTGAAAAGAAAACAAAAATGAATAGAAGAGAAGCTAATGGCATATATAGTAAACAATTGTAAGTAGCAATTTTGTGGAGCGGTGAATGTGCGGACTGTGGAGCCTCACGAAGAAAATGGCAAATATCAAATTTTTCTGAACTTTTATTGTGTGGAAGACATTTAAGAAACTAAGATGAACTCAGGTCAGAAGCAACCCTTCCTTCTCTACCAAGGAGCACTACCGGACTCAGTGGTTTTGCCGAGTGTCAGGAGCACTCGGCAAAGTCCAATTTGCACTCAGCAAAGGCTTTGCTGAGTGCTGCACTCGGCAAAAAATGGGTCGGCAAAGGCGTCTTTGCCGAGTGTCTTTTATCGGGCACTCCAGCAAAGGCTTTGCCGAGTGCCCGACACTCGGTAAAGTTGGAACCGAAAATACCCCGAAAAAATAGGAATTTTTACCCAAAAAATAGAATTTTTTTTAATCGGTGGAGGCCCCCACCAGCCAGCGTCCACCCATCTCCAGCATTTTTCGCGTAAATTTCGCGGATACGCGGCTGGCAGGATTCGAACCCGCGACCTCCCCTGCGCGCGAACCTCCTCTACCACTACATCACACTGTCACTTGTCACTTGTGTCTGGATTTCGTTTTAGTTCCCAACATATTATACTAAATCGAGTGTAAATTGTTTGTTTGAGGCCCTAAACGAATTCAAATAAAAAAGTTGTAAACTACAAAGTTTCATAACTTTTCGAGATCTACACTTTTAGTTTAGGAAGTTTTTCCATCCGAGGTCGTTTACAAAATTTGAATTTCAAAATTTTGAAATTCAAACGCGGTTTTGCATGACAAGATGATTTCAAATCAAAAAGTTGCCAACTACAATGTTTCATAACTTTTCAAGATCTACACTTTTAGTTTAGGAAGTTTTTCCATCCGAGGTCGTTTATAAAATTTGAATTTCAAAATTTTAAAATTCAAACACAGTTTTGCATGACAAGATGATTTCAAATCAAAAAGTTGCCAACTACAATGTTTCATAACTTTTCGAGATCTACAGAGTTTATTTTGGTTGTTTTTCCATCCGAGGTCGTTTGAAAAGTTCGAATTTTAAAATTTTGAAATTCAAACACATTTTTGCATGACAAGATGATTTTAAATCAAAAAGTTGCCAATTACAAAGTTTCATAACTTTTTGAGATCTACAAAGTTTATTTTGGTGGTTTGATCATCTGTTCATCCGACATGGTCGTTCTAACATTGTTCACAAATTTTATATATCTCTATTGTAGTTTCATAAACTACAATAGAGATATGTTAGATTTGTGAACAAATTTACTTTCACTTTGTCATATAAAGAAAAGACCAAAACATACATTATACATCTTGATGAGTTATACAACTTTGTAGTTGAAAACATTTTCATTTGAATTAATTTACTGCTTCAAAATGTGCTTTGAAATTTTCTTTGCTGAGTGTAAAAAAAAACACTCGGCAAAGAGCTTCTTTGTCGAGTGTCAAAAAAAAAAAAAACACTCGGCAAAGGCGTCTTTACCGAGTGCCCGAAAAACAACACTCGGCAATCCACTTGGCACTCGGCAAAGAGCGGGTCTCCGGTAGTGGAGGTCGTAGCACTGTTTCCTATCTGTTCTTGCTCACACTATCTAGTGGTCTCACCGTCCTACCAAAGCTTCTGCTTGCTGCTGTTGAAGCATGATGAATGGATTCTTTCTGTGGGATCTCTGGAGATCTAGCGTGCATGGTCGATCAACCAGATGAAATCAGATCAGACTTATTATTCAAAAGTAGTTTTTGGTCGTGCACACAATCAACGAGCTGCCATGGCCTATGGTGAGCTCTGTTATCTATCTGACTATCTTAGAGGTGGCGAAGTTATCTGGACAGGTTGGGAAATTAGGAGACAATAGACAAGAAGACTGATCTATGTTTCACTTTATGCCCTGTATATTGATGCAACATCTGGTGACAAAGTTTACACCGAAAACTTCGAAGACCATCTTTACACCGATTACACACATCTGAACACAAGGCGAAAGTTATGGGCCAATATTTTTAGAGAATGGAGCATCATCGGCCTCTGCAAGTGCACATAGCTAGTATGTATTACAAAGTTTTCACAGTTATCTCACATTTACTTACTGCAAATGGGCTATTTATTACATATTTATGGGCCGATATAGTACGTGGAACTCAAGAGTTTTAAACCTGAGGCTTGAAATCTAATTGTTCCCTGATTTAACCCACAAGTGAAGCCTAAATGTATAATACATCGTTATAAACGCCTCAACGCATTTGACATGGAGAAAAATGGCTTGAATGTCAGAATTAGCCCCATTACTGCAACCATGCTTATCACTAGAAATAGGATCTGGTCACCTGCATTTTGCATAAGTCAAACAAGAATATGCACTCAGTAATTTGTTGTGTTTTAGCTACCTGCCACCATATTGATAAGGCTGCATATGTGTTGTTATTTGTATACCTGTTAAGAACAACCCAGTCACGTGCTTTTTAGTCCATGAAACCCTGTAAAATAGCAAGAAAAGAAGTTCATCAATCGGAAAAAAATAGTCAATTTTTCTAAACAATAAAAAGTAGTACTTACAAAAATTCCTGCTCCTGCTGGAGCTACACCTTTGAACAATGACATTAGAGTCACGGAGATGCCATTTGCAATACCTCTTTGTTTTTGTGTCTGCACTTGTTCCATAGGATAAGTTAGAATCTAGAAAAACGATAGAATGTATTAGAAAAATGAGCCTAACAGATAGGCTTGATGCTTACCACTGCTGTGTTTTGTAGAATGTTGCATGCAGTAGTAATTGTAGCCTGTTTGTTGAAATATAGATCAAAATTAAAAATTGAAAAATGTGAAATGATTAAATTTATTTTCTCTAAGAAGTCTGTCTTAGATTTTTTCTATGATTGAGAAAACAAGTTGACTCACCGAGAATACATTCTTGAAAATTGAAGCTATGCTGATTAGTACTTTGAGCTCTGTCCCTTGTAAGTTGTCCATGAAGGGATACGTTGTGAGGAGAAGTATGGACAAGATCTACAAATCAAACAGTAGGTTAAACATGGTACTTGAAAATATAAATGAAATTAAACAAGCATTTAAACAAAAATAGGGATTTGAATCAATACACTACTTTTAGAAATTGTCATGCACACCTCATTGTTTTTATAGAAAGAAATCGTCATGCACACCTCATTGTTTTTATAGAAAGAAATCGTCATGCACACCTCATTGTTTTTATAGAAAGAAATCGTCATGCACACCTCATTGTTTTTCTAGAAAGAAATCAAATACTATTCCCCCACCTATTATTCCAATCTATATCTAACCTTCACTTTGATTTATTTTACTAGATTGATGCATATTTGTTTCCCCACTTAACATTAGACTACATTGTTTGAGATCCTTGATTTTCTTTTTACAAGTAGAATACTGAAGCAAATCTCACAAAGTTGTATTTCCCACATACCACAGCAGGACGTAATGGTCTGATTGGTCCAAAATATTTGGCAATGAAAGGATAAACAACAAATTGATATGCCAGAACACCAATACCTACAAGGATCAAATGAAGTTGTTGTAAGGTAAATAATTTGATGGCAACACTACTGGAAGTGTTAAAGGCATATGTTATTTCCATGTTACTTCAATTCATTTTGCAGGTCATTGTTTCTCTTTTTTTTCAAGGAAATACTCTTATTACACGCAATAATCACTTGCATAAAAGTTTGGGAAAAAATACTATATACCTGAGATGGCTAGCACAATACCCACATCCTGAGTTGTCCAACTCAAGCCCCGAAATTTTCTTTTGCTCACAGCCCAGAGTGAAAATGACTGAAGATAATAGTAAGAGAGAACATATTAGGATTGGCCACATACAACTTAGCATCAATGTCAAGGGCCACAACGATATTATTGGCATCCTCACATATTGAACTGCTACTGCAGAAGTTACTCTCATGATTATATAAGAAAAAATCACCTCAAGGTAAGCTACATCATGGAGAGAAAAGATACAGTAGATGATTACTGATGACATAAATTGTCAATTCTTTAGCAGGTTCTTCAAAGATGTGTCACTAGATACTTTAGACTTTCCAGGTTCTATGTTTGACAGACCAACTTGTGCTTCCACTTCCTCAGAAATTTGTGCCTCCTCTTCATGAGCACCTCCTACCTTTCCATCATTGTGAAAGTGTAGCGTTTCCTAAGAAAATCGGATAAATACTAAGCATCTTTCTAAAAATCTTATAACATTTGTAGAAGAATGTTTTTTCTGTGTGTGTGGATGTAGTCGAAATTTGTGCTAAATGGTAGTGTAACAATCCTGATACATTTAATGTATTTTGAAGGGACCTAATAAGTTGTATTTTTGAAGGAAAGAATCATAAAGGACAAGATGTTTCATACGGGAAGCCAAATGCATGCGATGCACGATCCCATTGCTAGTATCGATATGGTAAAGCATGGGAGGAAATATGGAAACCTGAAGGTAGAAGAAAATTCCAAAGGTTTGTCATATCCATAAAATGATAAAAAATCATATAACAAAAATAGTATGAGTAGTAGTTGACCTCCCAAATATGGATTCTTTGGAGAAAATATGTGGATACTTTTCTGCTGGCTAGTACATGATAGAGGATAGACGATGTTAGTCATATACTTTTGCATTGATTAGTTTATTGTACTATTAAAGTGCAGTTATATATTATTTTCACCTGTGCAAGAAACCCTCCAATAGCTGGTCCAACAACCAGGGACGAAGCCAGAAAAAAATTTAGGAGGGGCTGAACAAAAGAATAGAGGCTTTTTTATCTTCTCTTAACCTTAGCCCATCCTACCTAATATATATATGCATAAAAATTTAAGGGAGGGTTTAGGGGGGCTCCACGTGCCCAGGATCGGTAGGGGGGCTAGAGCCCCCCTAGCCCCACCGCTGGCTCCGTCGCTGCCAACAACAAAAGCTATCGCTCGTGATGATGTAACCTAGGACGTCATGTTAGACTTAAGTTAGATACAAGTAAATATGAACATTACAATATAAAGATTTGTTGAATAAGTTGAAGGTTTGAAATGCAGAAGATATAATTAAGGATTGTTCTTACAAGAGACATTCCTAGAGCTTTGTGCTCTTTCCTGCAGACTTCTGTAGCATATGCCTGGAAAATACATATGTATCTATGAGCATCTAATGCCTACTGTCAGTTGCTAATCGGGGCAAGCAAAGACAATAAGATACCTTGATTGGTCCCAATATACCACAAAGCATCCCAAGCAATCCCCTAGCTAGTTACAATTGCCATCCAGTATCTTGTGCTAAGACCAAATAATGTGTTGAAAACAATCCTGAAAAATCAAAACTTGGTTTACTCCCATTTGATGGTGGCAGACTAACTACTGAGTAAGATCCCACAATGTGGCTGATTATTTCCTACACTGAGAGGATGCTAATCACGATGCAGGGCTTCCTTCCATACTTGTCAGCAAATATGCCCCATGGCACAGAACTGAGTGCTCTAGCAAAGAAATAAGATGACCCTAAAAGAGAATTATAGTCAGCTTGACTGTAACTAGTGATGACAGTATCATCGAATTGTGACAATAAGTCAATAACTATGGTCTCCTTATTATTTAAGGAAAATGCACATGCAATCTGATTGAGATTAAGAGTTTAAACATATACAAGACAAGATCTGAAACCTCGAGGAGATGTTACTCACCAACAAATCCAACATAGAACGCGATGTCTTCCTCCCGCTTTGCGATATTCATGTCCCTGATCTGTTGTATTACAACAATAGTATAGAGTCAGTAACCAATATATTTCATAATGCAATCAAGTCCCTGCTCTGGACCATATACATACCATGAAGTATATATAAGGGAACAATGATTGGATCGGCAGAGCTGGGATGGACAAAAATGGGATGTTATACATCATTAGATAAAACAAATATGATATGATTGATTCCGAAATAGAAAAATGATTCACATTTATGTAAGATAAAATAAAGTGAATAACATCATTGTAAATATGTCTTTGACAACTATAGTGCTATAACCTCTCTACATTTTATAGATAGTGGTGATCTCAAAGATGTTTAACGAGATGAAAAGACCAGTCCTTATCAACTCTGTAGCATACAGTTATTTTTCTGTAGCAATATTGTGATGTAAAAATTTCCAAGAAAAAAGGACACAAATATTGAGACATACAAAAATATATGTATCCAAGCGACTACAATTTTCCTCATGTTTTGGAACATGTGTTGAAAGAGGATATCAAGCATTCAAAAGTAAGGGCCGCATGCCAATTTGTACTACTGCTATTTGTACAATTTGCTTGCACTAATGCAGCTAATTTTATTGTCGGGTTCATAAACCTGGGGTCCCTCGGGGACCGGCTTCCACGCCAGGGCTCGGCCCAGGAAAACAGCACGTAATTCATGGGCCGGCCCAAGAGTCTAAAACACAATGGGCCAAAAGGACAAGTCCGGTCGCCGACCGGAAGGTCTACCCAAAAGAACAAGCGCCTGCTCATCAAATTTCTTCGGCCCACCTCTCCGACCGAAGCATTCGCTTCGGGCACCAACCGCCTCCGGGCAGTCTCTCCGATCGGAAAGGCCTGGCCCAAAACACCGCTTCCTACTCCGACTCCGCGTCTCCAACCGGGGACCCCGTAGGAAGCCTGCTTACCACTCTTCTCCGACTGGCGCGGTCAGGGCCGACTGGGGCCATCCGACCAGGGACGCCCGCTCGGAAGGGACCAGGGGCAAACGGAGAAGGCAGTGCACAAAGTCAAACCACGATACCGGGACCATACCCTGTATGCCTGCGGGAACAGTGCTCCTCAACCGCTCTGACATAAACAGTATTATAGGCACTGACATTTGTGTCTACAATATTGTAGGCGCCATTGGGCTCCCATATGGCAAAAAGCCCCCCACATACCTCTGGGCATCGATAGTGGGCGCCAGGGTTCACCATACTTGGTACACAGGGTAGGGCTCCTCACATACCAATAGTATTTTGCAGGTACCGACATCCACCCTTCCTGAAGAAGCCAACGCAACCTCCCATGTGCACCTGACATTCTAGAGTGACGTCAACAGTACTGTGGGCGCCTACCATCATCACTGTCCTCATCGGCATGGGCAACAAGACTTAGTAACATCCGTACTCTCTCCCTCTCACCTATAAAAGCCATCCCCTTCTTATATAAAAGGGGATGCGCTCCCTCCAACGAAGGAGGTCGACTTCTTCAAGCACCAGATTCACTAGATCGATAGCTCACAACCCCTCAAACACCCGCTTGAACACCTAGCTCATAGCAGAGTTCCGGTCGCCCTTGGCCCTTCCGACCGGGCCTCTCGTACACCCCACCTTTCTCCTTCTCGTTTGTAACCCCACTACAGACTTTGACCACCTAGGCTCAGGAATAAAGTCACCGACCGACCCACACTGGACGTAGGGCACGTTGCCTGAACCAGTATAAATCCTGTGTCATTGAGTGTTAGGCCACCTCCGATCAGAATGTACATCAAAACTATAAATATTCACTAGTTGGTCACTTTCTGTACCGACAGTTGGCGCCGTTCGTGGGAAAGACGCTGTATGTTCAACACTTTTTGGTCATCGGATGGCCTATTTTTTCACCACCCTCGCCTGTGGGGATGCGGGTTCCACCCGTTTTCAAGCCATCCTAGGCCTTCCTCTTCGGAAGCCTGGACTTCATCGCCGACCGGCTTGGCGTACTCCACCTCCGCGAGGAGACTCGCAACCTGGCACCTATCGGAGAGACGTCCTCCATCGACTCCAGGACGCGCGACCTCAACGGCGCAGCATCTGCGCTTCATTCCGAGCAAACTCTCTGCTCAAACCCCGCTGTGAGTAATATACATGCCGTTCTTTACTTACTACATTCTATCTTCCGCCAAACACCCGGAGGGCTGCCGTTGTCCCCATCGTGGCCATCGTACGGCCGGTTCCCCTACAACCTCGTGTCTTTTGTGGACGCGTACGCCTGGGGCTCCAAAATATTATGGTGCTGCCTCCTCTCACGTCTGAGTTCGTGGGGATGGCGAGCTACGGTCCCACCTGTTTCCTCGACATCATGGATGACGACATTGGGAGTGACGGCTCCAGCATCGGCGACGTGGCACCCAGCCACCGTCCGTCCCGGGAGTGCGCCATGACGGACGCTCCGGAACAGCCGCCAGGGGCAACGGAGTCCTCACGGACTCACGCCCCTCTGGGCCCTCATATGGAGGCCCTCGAGCTCACACAAGAGCACGGGAAGGATCTATGACGACAGTGGCCGCATCAGCCACCGACCGCGCCAGCGCGCGCGACGCACCACACTGCGCCCCGTGCGCATAGACCGGCGAGCGGCGCTCGGGGTCGCACCCGTCAGGTCCAGCGCAACACCCCAGATAGGGGGACCGATCCCCCGCAGTTCGCTCGGGCCAGTCAGAACATTGCCGCCGCGACAATGCTCCTGTGCGGCCTGTCCGAGCTGAACGACCCTCGCGAGCGGGCGATCCACCGGAACCTCTGGGCATTGGTGGAGACCGCCGCCGTTCAGCAAGCGGAGTGCTCCGTATCGCGACACCGACTCGCGACCTTGCTCCCCGTCCGGGGAACAAGGACGCAGCAGATGGGGCACTACACCCTGTCACCACAACAACCGCTGAGCGCGGCACATGAGGCCACAACGGCACCTCATCTTGACCTGACGATCGCTTCTCACCAACCGCCTATCTACGTGCGGCTCGGACCAAACCAAGGCACGTGCAGTAGTGACCGGACTCCCAGCACTGATAGCCCGGGACCACCAACCTTTGCCCAACTCCCCCAGCAAGCGCCGTTCTCACCGCGCTTCAACTGGGCCACGACAAAGGAAAGGCCAAACGCCAGGATCAAGACGAGGGCCCCTCCACGCAGAGGAAAAAAAGAACAGAAAGGATCGCCGCCGACCGGCCAACTCTGCGTCGGTCGCCGCGGCCGATCACCTGGGCACGCAGCCTTAGCAGGACTGATCGGGACACTTCCACGAGCTCATGGAAAGCCCATGCACCAACCACAACTATCCCGTCAACCATCTCTATAAGGACTGCCAGCTCCTCAAGCGCCTGCTGAGGTAGACTGGCAGGCCAAGGAAAGAAAAAGGCGAAGAAGCAGCAACAGAAAAAGGGGGCACAACAGGCGAGGATCCAGACGGCTGAAGGCTGAAGTGATCCGATCGGACGCCCACCGACTAAAAGACAACGACGACGACGTTCTCTCCAAACGCTTGGAACAGCTATGTCGTTCTTTCCTTTCCCTAAGTTTTAGTTTTTGTTTACTTAGCAAATGCTCCTATAAGACCACCCCGACCCGAACACTTTTCGGCCCGAGGCGCTCGGGGGCTCCACTAGGGGGCACTATTACCCCTCTGTTTTCGTCTTTTACTTTCATATGGAAAAACTCCTTCCTACCCGAATAGAAGGGCAGTTCGTTCTTTTGATTTTCCTTACGTAGCTTTGCTTTAAAACATTCCGACCGATCGCGCCCCGCCTTTTCCTACAGTTACGAGCGGCCGAGCCTCGCGGGCCACGCCCCGGGCTCACAAGGTCGCGGCCTACG